AGCAACAACTAAAACATTGGTGTGTTATCAACATTATTCTCGTCCTAAATCCAAAACACAGCACTGTACCAGCTCCTAGGAAGGAAATTAACTCTATCCCTGCTGAAACCAGGACAGTCTATTGTCCGAGAGCAAACAATGAGGGCCATTTTGATCAGTGTGCCAGCAAGCATGTGGAATGCACGCACCTGTGCAGCGGGGGCTGCCCTTGCTCATGCCCCTGAGAGCAGAAGACACCGCATCCCTGCACTCAACATCATGCCTCTTGCTGACTGCTGCCACTGGACTGAGTCCTGAAACTGCATGGTTCCCCAAAGGCCAGAGGAAGACCTGTCAAAAATGGAAGCAAAAGTCTCTCCAGAGTATTGCCTTGCAAAGCGAATCTTCTGCTTCTTTGCCATCCAAAACAGGAGGTCTAGAGCTGCACCAAGCACATCCAAATTCTGTAGCCACACAGCTTCTCAGGGACCCCATGTCCTGTTGCAGCTCCATCAGACATGCCCAATTGTCCAACGTTCTCTGCACCTGCAGTGCCATGGCCAGGGCAGCATGTCCCTGCTCATCTCTCCGGGCAACCCTACTTCCAGCACTCTGAAGATGAAGCAGCCCCCAGGGAACTGCATCCTGTGACCCCCCCTGCTGCAGGCACATGAGGCATCGCTCACCCTCTGCCTCTCTGGAGGGTCTCGGTGGCCCTGGGGGAAGGTGGGACATGCAGCCTCCATGGCAAGGAGGAGAGGCCGTTGCACAGCAGAGAAGTGACATGGAAGCGCCTGGGCAGAAGATGCCGAGCCAGAGCATGGCAGGAGCTGCTCCTCTGCACAGGGACACTGTTGGGTCTGCCACGGGGGTGGGACAGTGCCCTGGGGTGCCATCCCGGTGGGAGATGGAGGCCAGGCTGCTCAGTACCACTACTGCCTTGGGGCTGCCATGTCTCCCTTTTGGCATGACCAGGCTGCGGGCTGGCGTCGCCTCGCTTTGCTGGGCCCTTTGTGAGGCTCTGGGCTCTGTTCCTGCTGGGCATCCTGCCCCGTGACCCTGTGCTCCAGGGTCCCTCTGTCACCACAGAAGGGGAAGAGTCACAGCCTGGCTTTGGGAAGTGGCTTCTCCTGCCACCCTACAGGCAGTCAGGTGGCAGAGCAGAGCCGGGGCAGTGCCAGGAGCTGGGCACTGGCGACCTCCTGGGAAAGGTGGGGGCTTGGAGTAAATGTGAGCTGTTTGGGGCACCAGATCACGGCCCTGGCATGCATGTGGGATTGTGTTCCCCCCCCTCCCCGCATGATCAGTGTTCCTGTGTGTGCTGGGTCTGCCTGGGGTTGAGCTAATTCTCTTCACAACAGCCCATATGGTGCTGTCTTTTGGATTTGTGACCAAAACGGTGTTTTGGTACCCAGCGAGTGGGCTGGGGTGGGCAAGAGGATGGAAGGGGATATAGCTGGGACAGCTGACCCCAACTGACCAAAGGGATATTCCACACCATATGACATTGTGCTCAGCAATAAAACTGCAAAGTGGTGGTGGGGACTAGAGCTTGGGGACTGGCTGGGCATCTGTCTGCTTGTGGGAGGTGAGGAGTGATTGCCTTTGCATCACTTGCTTTGGTTTTTTGGTGCTGCTGTTGGTTCCTGTGTGTGCTGGGTCTGCCTGGGGTTGAGCTAATTCTCTTCACAACAGCCCATATGGTGCTGTCTTTTGGATTTGTGACCAAAACGGTGTTTTGGTACCCAGCGAGTGGGCTGGGGTGGGCAAGAGGATGGAAGGGGATATAGCT